GCGGAGGATGCTCGCCCCGAGAGCCCGGGGGGGGGGGGAGGCCCGCTGTTCTCCCCCCCGCGGGGCGGGGCCTCCCCTTCTCCCCCAGCGGGGCGGGGCCTCCCCAGGGGGGGGGGGGGGGGGCCAGCGGGGGGAGCCCAGGGGGGGGGGAGGAAGGAGGAAGGAGATGGGAGGAAGGAGGAGGAGGAAGGAGGAAGGAGGAAGGAGGAAGGAGGAAGGAGGAAGGAGGAAGGAGGAAGGAGGAAGGAGGAAGGAGGAGGAGGAGGAGGAGGGAGGAGGAGGAGGAGGAGGAGGAGGGAGGAGGAGGAGGAGGAGGAGGAGGAAGGAGGAGGAGGAGGAGGGAGGAGGGGGGGGAGGAGGAGCCCAGCGGGGGGAGGCCCAGCGAGGGGGGGCTCCGCAGACGAGGCCGCTGCCCTCCCCAGCGGGGGGAGGCCCCGCCCCGAGACCCAGGCGGCCCCTGCGCACAGAGCAGGGGAGGGCGGGGCACCGCGCGGGGCGCCAGGAGGCGGCGGCAGGGGAGGCGAGGGCACCGAGAGGCAACGCGTTGCGGCCCGCTCTCGGATGCACGTGGCCGCTCGGGCTCACATGGCCTTCTCGCCTCAGGCCTGGACCGAAAACGCGCCTCGAACGCGACTCCTGCCTGCTGCTGGGAGAGAGGACGTGGCGGAGAAGTGCAGCCGTGGAGAAGGGAGTGCAGCAGGCCCCTTTCACCGCTGTCTGGGCGCGGGGGGGAGGGGGGAGGGGGGGGAGGGGAGGGGGGGGAGGGGGGGGGGGAGGGCGAGGGCCAGAGCGAGCAGAACCCAGGGCCTTCGCCCGGGCCTGGGGCCCGGCGAGGGCCCCCAGAGGCCGAGCCTTGCCAACACAAATCCGTGTAAACTGGGTGTGTAAGTAAGCTGGGCCTGGAAGTGCAGGACTTTGCCTCAAAACCGCAGAGGGTATTCCTCGAACACAGATCATAGAAAGCCGTTCTCAACGAGTCGGTCCAGTCTCGCCAATTGACAGTTGCTGCAAAGACAGATGCGGCAGGAGCCGGAGCCCCCCAAGTACCACGCGATCCTGGGCCCATCGTAGAGCCAAACGCCGCGGACGGGCCTTGGGCCGCGCGTACGTGAGGGAGCAGGGAGGAGGGATGGCGAGGGTCGGAGGCAAGGCGAGGGAGGGAGGAGGAGGAGGAAGAGACGGACAGGAGGAGGAGAGGAGGAGGGGAGGAGGAGGTGGAGGGAGGAGGAGGAAGAGGAGGAGGAGGAGAGAGGAGGAGGAGGAGGAGAGAGGAGGAGGAGGAGGAGGAGGAGGAGGAGGAGGAGGAGGAGGGAGGAGGAGGAGAGGAAGAGGAGGACGAGGGGAGGAGGAGGTGGAGGGGAGGAGGAGGAGGACGAGGAGGAGGAGGTGGAGGGAGGAGGAAGAGGAGCGGAGGAGGAGGAAGAGGAGGAGGATGAGGAGGAGGAAGAGGAGGACGAGGTGGAGTGGAGGAGGAGGATGAGGAGGAGGAGGAGGAGGAGAGGAGAAGGAGGGAGTAGGAGAAGGAGGAGAGGGAGGAGGAGCAGGAAGAGGAGAAGGAGGAGGAGGATGAGGAGGCGGAGGGATGAGGAGGAGGAAGAGGAGGAGGAGGAGGAGGAGGAGGAGGAGGAGGAGGAGGTGGAGGGAGGAGGAGGAGGAGGAGGAGGAGGAGCAGGAGGAGGAGGAGGAGGAGGAAGAGGAAGAGGAAGAGGAAGAGGAGGAGGTGGAGGGAGGAGGAGGGATCTGAGGGATCTGATGATGCTGGCAGGTTCTCCCTGCCCCTGCCACGCGGCCGCGGGCAGGAGGACAAACCGCACCCGACCCTTGCGCCCGACGCGGCACGCCAAGCCACCAAGGCCCAGCAGCGGCCCACAAAGGGCCAAAAGCAACGCGAGGGGGCCACCAAAAGGCCCCGGACCCAGGACGGCCCGAGACGCGTCGGGGAAGGGGCAGGGAGCGGTTCCCCCCCTTGGCCCGCCCGCCCCCCTCTCAAAACTAGCCCTCGATGGGCTTCACACCTTGGTCGCCTTCTTCTGGCGGGTCTTGATGATCACAACGCTCGGGATGATATTGCCCGCCTGCACCATGGCGATTTTGTCGAAAATCCAATGATCCCCGAACCTGGTCGCCTTCATGTTCACCTGGCGGGTCTTGGTCATCCCGACGCCCTTTACCATGACGACCTTGCCGAAGATCCTATTATTCCAGGCCTTGGTCACCTTCGCCTTCAGAATGATGACCTTGCCGAAGATCCAATGATTCACGGCCTGGGTCTCCTTCTTTTGGCGGGTCTTGATCATCGCAACACCTGCAAAGCCATGGCTCGGCCAACCTCAGAACCCTCGAGGCGAAAGGGCTGGAGGGAGGAGGAGGAGGAGGAGGAGGAGGAGGAGGAGGAGGAGGAGGAGGAGGTGGAGGGAGGAGGACGAGGTGGAGGGAGGAGGAGGAGCAGGAGGAGGAGGAGGAAGAGTAGGAGGAGAAGGAGGAGGAGGAGGAGGTATGCAGCCGTTTTGGCTCAGGCTGGTTGGGGCACCAGGCCCAGACCGACTTGACCTCTTCAATCTTCCGTACGTCGCCCTCTGGGCCTCTCGGCGCCGGCGTCGCGTCGGGGCTCTTTTTCTGGGCGGCTTTCGGGGGCCCAGCTGCGGCCCTGGAAGGCCGAAGAGGCGGAGCGCTCAGCTCGAGCAGAGCACTGCAGGTGCAGCAGCAGAAGAGCGCGTAGCACCTCGCAGCTGCGGGTGAGAGTGAGAGGGGCGGGCGCGGGGTGGGTCGCGGGTGGGTCGCGGGTCGCGGGGTGGGTCGTGGGGTGGGCCGCGGGGTGGGTCGTTGGTGGGTCGCGGAGTGGGTCGCTGGGTGGATCGCGGGCGGGTCGCGGGGGGGACGATAAAATGATCAAGAACAGCAAAAAATGGTTCCGACAGCAGGACGTCGAACTTGCCGAACTGATTGTGATTCATCGTCGTCTTTGTGATTGCGCTGGCTGGTCCTTGCCGAAGCTTGCGAGCTTGCTTGAGGATGACCGCTTCGGACTATCAAGGACGCTCGACAAAGGAACGCGGCACCCGCTCGAGACTTCCTCAAGATTCAGACTCCCAGGTGTCACCAAACCTGTGCTTTCTCAGCGGCCCCCGATGGCCGCCTCGGATTCATAGCATGAATGCGGGGGCCATACAGGGAGGGGCGTTCGCTCGAGGCTTCCTCCCGATGTGCTCACAGACGACCGCCCGAGACATCCGTTCAATTCGGCTTAGAAGCGAGGCTCCCGCTCGAGACTTCGTCGGGATTCGGGCTCCCAGCATGCTCAGCATGCCGATGGCCGCCTCGGTTTACCAACGCGAGGCGGGGACCCCATGGGGATCGGGCCCCCACTCGAGACTTCCTCGGGATCCGCTCACGGGTCAGGCTCCCGCTCGAGACGTCTTTTCAAGTTGCTCAGGAGCGAGGCTCCCGCTTGAGAATTCGTCGGGATCCAGGCTCCCAGGCGTCGCCAAACGCATGTTCTTACAGGGTATTCCAGTGGCCGCCTCGGATTCGAACATGGAGGTGGGGACCCCATAGGGAGGTGCTCCCGCTCGAGACTTCCTGGTGACATCTCTTGAACCAGAATCCCGACGAAGTCTCGAGCGGGAGCCTCTCATTCCTGAGCTAACTGAAAGGATGTCTCGAGCCGGAGCCTCGAGCGGGAGCCTCGAGGGCGATTCACTCACGGACGAGGCTCCCGCTCGAGACATCTTTTCAGTTCGCTCAGGAATGAGAGGCTCCCGCTCGAGACTGCGTCGGGATTCTGGTTCAAGAGATGTCACCAAACTGTCGTTTCACATGGATCCCCTTCGGGGACCACCCGTGAACGTTGGAACGATACAGAGAAGATTTGCATGGCCCCATGCGCAAGGATGACACGCGCAGATCGAGAAGTGCATACAATTTTAATTTTCGGGGCTGGACAGAACCCCCAACAGTGACACGTCGATTAGTGAATTGTCCGTTTTCGGTTTTCGAGAGGGCGCCGTGGCCGTTATTTTCCAGGCTTGCGACCGCCAAGTTTGGGCCTCAGGTCGTTTTCACTAAACCACCTTTTACTAAAGGGGGGTCTGTCCATCCCCGAAAACTGTTGTTTTCACATGGCATTCCGATGGCCGCCTCGGAGCCGGAGGCTTGGGAGTGCCGCAGCGTCGGACCTCGGGACCAAAGGTCCTGCACAGCTCTTGCATCCGCACGACTCCGACCCGGGACGCTGGGCGGCCGTAAACCCGCCGCCGGCCCTCCTCCTCCCTCCTCCTCCTCCTCCTCCCTCCTCCTTCTCCTCCTCCCTCCTCCTCCTCCTCCTCCTCCTCCTCTCTTCTTCCTCTCCTCCCTCCTCCTCCTCCTCCTCCTCCTCCTCCTCCTCCTCCTCCTCCTCCTCCCTCCTCCTCCTCCTCCTCCCTCCTCCTCATCCTCCTCCTGCTCCTCCTCCTCGGCCCCAGGAGCGGGAGGGCCGCGCCCCGAAGAGGGCGGCCCGGCACCCTCCTTTGAGGACCTGCCCCGGAGCCCGTGAAAAATCACGGCCTCTTCGAGCGTGTTCCACTACTCTTAAGTCCGAGAAAAAATGCACACGTCCGAGCGATGCCAAGTCTTGGGAGGCTTCGTCTCGTGCCAGCTTCTGGGAAAAGCCTGCCGCAGTGCACTCTGTGTGAGCACCGCGCCGACATGGCCGTCGTGCGAGAGCTGACGCGCCCGCGGGCAGCTCACAAACTTGCGTGACATGCGAGGAAGTCTCGGCAGAGAGCGCCGTTCCTGAGTGTTGGGGTTTAGTCGGGCCTGTCCCCCTACAGGGGGAGCTTCGACGAAAAATAAAAGATACCCCCAAAATAGTCAAAAAATAGTCGGGATTATTTTTGGGAGTATGTTGTACCTTGTTGGGGGTATATTGGGTGCATTTTTGGGGTATTTTTTTGGTTCGTCGAAAATCCCTCTGTAGGGGGACACGCCCGACATAACTACTCTCGGGGGTGGACAGACCTCCTACCCTGATACGTCGATTAAGGAATTGGCCGTTTTCGGTTCGCCAGGGGGCGTCGCGGCCGTCCTTTTTGCGGGTCCAGGTCCGTCGGTTTCGGTCCCAGGCCGTTTTCACTAAGGGGAGGTTTACTAAAGGGAGGTTTTTCCACCGCCGATACAATGAACATAAATGGCATAAACATAAAAGGGAGGTTACTAGGGGAACAAGCAATGACATAAGCATAAAAACTCGGAGGTCCAGGCGGATTTCTCGGATCGGCGCTCGACCCCCCTCCCTGGCGCGCGGAGCGCGCCAGGGGCGGCGCCGGAGGCGCCGCCAGGGGGCCCTAGCGCCGATCAAAGAAATCCGCGCGGACCTCCGAGTTTGGTTGTTTCTGTCATTGTTTGTTCCCCTATACTCGCAAAGTGCCAACTCGCAAACGTCCGAAAAGTAGGTGCTCGCCCCGTTGTCATGGATCGTAGAGCCCCCGCCCCAGATCCAGGCGATTTGCGAGTACTTGATCTCTTCGCGAGTCGTGGAGCGCGCTTTTCTACGACCGCTGGGCGTTTGAAAAGGGGGGGGGGGGGAAGAGAAGCGCCTGCGATATGAGAAATGGGAGGGGAAAATGGTACAACTTCTGCGCCCGAGCCCCCATGGGGCCCAAAAGGGGCACGAAGTGGATCTGCTTCTCCCCCCACTGCATCAAGTCGGGCATGCTCCTCTACAGGAGGAACGTCCAAAAGCAGTCAAAAATCGTCTGGGGACGACTCTTCGACGATTCTTGGCCCATGTTTCCATATTTTTTGAATATTTTTAAACTTTGTCCTCCACCATCGGCCTGTAGGGGGACTTGCCCGGCCTAACCATTGTACAGCCACGACGCTGAAATAAGGAACAGTTTGGATTCGGAAGGGGCTCGATGTTCCTTACGTCCTTCCGTGGTTGTTCCTCTAGCCCTTCTCGTGCACCCAGGCTTTTTTGAGGCCGCAGCCCAACTGCATCGTTCAGCGCCCCTGATCTAGCGTTCCTGATCTAGCGCTCCTTCTTCAGCGTTCCTTCTTTAGCCAGGGGCTTCGTTCCTTATCTAGCGTTCCTTATGGGCTGGCCTCCGGCCAGTGCCGCCGATCCGGGGGGGCTCCGGAAGTGGAGTTTTCTATACCCCCGTGTCCCCGGGTACCGAAAAACGTCGGAGATGACGTCGGAAATACCCCCGTGTACCGAAAAACGTCGGAAATGACGTCGGAAATAACATACCCCCCCCTGCAGAGCGAAGCTTGAGCGAGCTCAAGTCCACGCTCTCAGAAACTCGCACGCCGGATCGGCGGATCTTTAGCCGGGGCTTCGTTCCTGATCTAGCGTTCCTTATGTCAGCAGCCCATCTGTATCGCCCCCCCCCCCCGGAGCGAGGGCCCAGCGACTGGCGCCACGGACCCGATCTAGCGTTCCTTCTAGCGTTCCTGATCTAGCGTTTCTGATCTAGCGTATCATTCAGCGTTCCTGATCTAGCGTTCCTTCTCTAGCGCTCCTTCTTTAGCGATCCTTCTTTAGCCGGGGCTTCGTTCCTCATCTAGCGTTCCTTATGTCAGCAGCCCAGCTGTATCGCCCCCCCCCCGGAGCGAGGCCCAGCGAGCGGCGCCACGGATCCCAGCCCGCGTCGGGCCCGACCGATCCGCGGAGGGGGAGGAGGAGGAGAAGGAAGGAGGAGGAGGAAGGAGGAGGAGGAGGAGGAGGAGGAGGAGGAGGAGAGGAGGAGGAGGAGAGGAGGAGGAGGAGGGGGAGGAGGGGAGGAGGGAGGAGGAGAGGAGGAGGAGGAGGAGGAGGAGGAGGAGGAGGGAGGAGGAGGAGGAGGAGGAGGATGAGGAGGGGAGGAGGAGGGAGGAGGAGGAGGAGGAGGAGGAGGAGGAGGAGGAGGAGGAGGAGGAAGAGGAGGAGGCCTGTGCGGCACTCCGCGTCGGGCCCGGCCGATCCGCGGCGGCCCTGCGGCCCGAGAGGCCGTGCGATGGGGCCGGACTGGACTGGACTGGACTGGACTGAAGTCGGGCCTGTCCCTCTACAGGAGGAATATGCAAAAATGATCAAAAAATAGTCTGGGGACTATTTTTGGAGTATTTTTGTCAATTTTGGAATACTTTTGGGGTATGTTTAATTTTTCGTCGGAAATCCTCCTGTATGGGGGACACGCCCGACTTAAGACTGGATCATTTCGACTACACGTACAGTGGGGGCGCGCATCAAGAATCCATATGCTTTTCGTCTGGGTAATTATCCTGGGTTTCTTCGCTCCTCGCGCTGCGCGGCGACTTCCCGCGGCCGTTGAGGGAGCTGCTGCGTTCAGGGTGCTCCGGGCTTCCCCTCAGGTGCACCTCGCGCACGGGTTCTCAGGGTTGGGTTTCTTGCGAGGGTTTCTTGCGGCCGCGCCCGCATTCTACACGTAAGAGTGACCCTTCGCCGGAGTGACCTTGGGTGCGGGCACAGACGGGTCCCCCGATCGCCGAGCACGATGCTCAGGAGAGGAGAAAAAACAC